CAGCCTGTTTTGCAACCACTAACTCACTTCACTGATCATACCTCCCTAAGTCCTAGACATCCAGGCCCTCAAAAAATTACCATCAAAAATATTCCTGACCACACTCCTCCCCCTCCCCAAGATAAAGTCCCCTTCCCTCAATGCTGCTGATTTTTACAAACAGAATTATGAATAAGCAGTTTAGACCAAAATGTGATTGACTAACAGGTTAATGTCTCCAATGGATTTATATTTTAATAAGCGTTTCTACACACCAGCCAGCCTTCTTCCTACCAAGTAAGTACCCTCCTCTAAACACCTGTTCATTGGAGCCTGAGGAAAATATTAGAGACTAATTAGAACTGGCCAAAAACGAACAAACAAAAAACCCCATGCTCTGTGGTTAAACTAAATGAGCTCGTCAGGACAGCCACAACAGTTTCTTCCATCTGCCCTTTTTGGACAGTCATCAGCTCTGATCAGGTCAATTGCGCCAGAAGCCAAAATTCTATGACCAGAGTCACAAAGTAAGTCCTCAAAGGCACAGATGTAGTGAACCAAATTTCAAGCACCTGGGGGTGGGGAGATAAAATTTAAAACCTAAAGGGACAAAAAAAGTATTTTTGGAAGGAATGGATCAGAGCCACCTCAGCAAATGAAAGGAGCCAATTCTAGAATGTGGAGCGTTACTGGGACGCTCTAATAGCAAAAGGGCAGGAAAACTAGTAAACAAGGTTTAAATAGACACCTGGGTAGGATTCCCCAGCCCGGGTAACAAGGAATGCAGCTGGCTCGAGGGCGGGAGCTAATCACACGGCTTATGATTAGAGGTCAAAGAGCCGACTTGGTAGTTACACTTGATACTGCTGATTTTTTGGTTACTGGTGGAGGCTTTACCGTTAATTTTCTGCAAAACGTCAACCCTTTCTCAGCTGAAACCAAAAGGAAACCAGCCCTGAAGCGCTCCCATCAGGGCGCCGGCCCGCCGCACAGGTGTAGCTAGGACTCCCGATGAGGCGGGAAGGCTGCAGAAGGCGCTCCTGCGGCGCTCGGGCCGCCCGGGCCACGGCGTCCGAGGGCCCAGGGCTCCCAAGGGGCCTGATAAACGGTTACGAGTGACATCACGCGACGTCACCTCTCTCTCTCGGACACACACGCACACCGCAACCTTTTAAAATAAAACCCGTCCCAGAGTCGAACGCCGCCCAGCGCGCCCTCCCCTCAGTAACGCTCCGGCTCCGCTCAGCGGCGGGTTCGCGGCGGGCGCGGGGGGGGGGGGGGAGGGCAGCCCGGAGCGTCGGGACCGGCTGGGGGCTGCTGAGGAGACTCCCGCCCGCCAGAAAAGGCGCCCCGGGGGGGCAGCCGAGCGACGCCCGCCGCGGCCGGCCGCCCACTGACCTTGTAGCCGCCCCAGACGAACATGTGGCGCCCGTCGCCGACGGCTACGTGGCCGCTGCGCTCCGCGGGGCAGGCGAGCTCCATGGACTCATAGCTCTCGTAGGCTGGCCCCGGCAAGTCGTCCGCCCGCAGATCCTCGTTGCCATCAGCCATCTTGAGGCTGCGCTTCTGTTCACCAACAATCCTGACACCCGCGAGGGCAGAAGAGACAAAGGAAAAGGAGAGAAATGCACGGCGGCGAGAGGAGCAGAAGGCGGCGGCGAAGGGGCCGGCGGTAAGGCCGCCCGCTGGCCGCCCGCGCCCTCCCAGCCCCTCCTCAGCGAGGACAGCGTCTCCGCCGCCTGGGCTGCGCCGCGGGGTCGCGGGCCGGGGGCGGCGGCGGGGCCCCGCCGGGAGCAGGGCGGAAAGGGGGTCCACTTGCGGCCGGCCGGGACTGGCTTCCAGCCCGCGCGCCCCGCCTCCAGCTCGCCTCTCGCCGCCCGCCGCCGCCGGCCCTTGTTTACGCCACGGTCGGAACCGCCCGTTCCGCTGACGCCGCCTGCGGGGCTCCGGAAGCGAGGCCGGCGCTCAGCGCCCCCAGCGCCGGGTCCTCCCGCCGCCGCCGCGCCGCCGCCGCCGCCGCCGCCGCCGCCGCCGCCCCCGCCCCCTCCCCCGCCCCGCCCCCTCCCCCGCCCCCGGCGCCGCGGGCCGCGAGACCGAGTGCGGTCCGGCTGCGAGCACGCTCCGACCTCCTGGCCTGCGGGCGGCCAAGGAGGGGAGGATCGTGGCCACATTCTCGCGGAAAATTATAATACATATTTTTTTAACTGGGAATTCCTCCTCATGTGATTGAGAAGTGTTCTCAGAGGGTTCACGGTCCGGAAAGGGGTAGGGACGTTGCTCAGTAAGTCTCTGGTCTCAGAGGCAGAAAGACGTCTCTGCCCCGTCTTCCCGTGGCCTCGAGGCGCGGCGCCGGGCCCTCCGCCGGCTGCCAGGCCGCCTGCTCGCGCGCGGGCGCTGCGGGCTCCCCGCCCGGTGCCACCCGGTGCCGCCCGGCGCCTGCAGAGCGGTCCCTGGCGCCTCCGCTCGGGGAGCTCTTCCGCTTCAGCAGGGACCTGAGCGCGGCGAGCTTCACCCCGTCTGGAAAACCGTACTCGAAAAGTACTTGAGAAACCCTCACCGCCCGGCCCGTAAGGGAGGCTGGCAAATAGATACTGTTTTTATATTTTATATATGATTTCAACTAGGTCAGAAAATTAGGAATTACTGTCCTCTAAACTTGAATTCCTCACCTGTAAAATAGGGTTGGGCCAGAATACATCTTAAATCCCTAACGCAATGGTGTCTCCGTACTTGGATGTGTTTGCTGAGAGGAGTCTGCTTTATTACCTGGTCTCTTCCCCATCTTCATGCTGGGGCCGCTGCTTGGAAGGAGTACCTTGAACAGTAACAAAGGCTTTCCGGGCTCAAATTGTCATAGCCTGAACATTTCTTCCCTTAGTTCCTTCCTTTCATTTTCTTCCCTAGTCACTGTATGTTTATAATTTTTCGAGATTTGTAGGATGGGTGGAAGCAGTGCTTAGGTGGAAATTTACAGCACTGAATTGCATATATTAGAAAAGAAGAAAGAGGGCAGCCCGGGTGGCCCAGCGGTTTGGCGCCTGCCTTCGGCCCAGGGCGTGATCCTGGAGTCCCGGGATCGAGTCCGCATCGGGCTCCCTGCATGGAGCCTGCTTCTCCCTCTGCCTCTGTCTCTGCCTCTCTGTGTGTTTGTGTGTCTCATGAGTAAATAAAATCTTTTTAAAAAAGAAGAAAGATCTAAAATCAGTCATCTAAGTGTTCATCTTAGGAAACCAAAGAAGAGCAAATTAAATCCAAGTGGAAGAAAAGAATAATAAAAATTTAGAGCTGGGACGCCCGGGTGACTCAGAGCTTGAGTGCCTGCCTTCCACCCAGGGTGTGATCCTGGAGGCGGGGGGTCAAGTCCCACATGGGATCCCTGAATGGAACCTGCCTCTCTGTGTGTGTCTCTCATGAATAAATAAAATCTTAAAAAAAAAAATTACAGCCGTATCAGTGAAATTGAAAACAAGAAATAAGGAGCACCTGGATGGCTCAGTGGTTGAGCATCTGCCTTTGACTCCTGTAGCGATCCCAGAGTTCTGGGCTCGAGTCCTGGGATGGAGTCTCGCATGGAGTCCCAAGCCTCCTCCCTCTGCGTATGTCTCTACCTCTCTTGTGTCTCTCATGAATAAACCAAACAAACAAACAAACAAAAAAAAGAACAGAAAACAAGAAATAAGCAAATAAAACTAAAAGCTGGTTCTTTGAAAAGATCAATAAAATCAATAAACCTCTAAGCCAGGCTAAGGAAAAAAGAGAAAGGACACAAATTACTAATGATGTCAGAAATGAAATAGGGGACAGCACTACAGATTCCATAACATTAAAAGGAATATTATGAACAACTCTGCCCCTATATTTGATAACCTAGATGAAATGGACCAATTCCTTGAAAGACACAATCTGCCAAAACTCACATAAGAAATAGACAACTTGAGGGGCACATGGGTGGTCCAGTGAGTTAAGCGCCTGCCTTCAGCTTCCTCAGGTCATGATCCCAGGGTCCTAGCCCTGATTGGGGATCCCTGCTCAAGAGGGGGTCTGCTTCCCCTCAGCCCCTCACCCTGCTCATTCCGTGTCTCTCTCTCTCTCTAAAAATATTTCTAAAAAATTTTAAAAGAATTATATGCCATGACCAAGTAAAACTTATCCCTAGTATGCAAGACTGTTCAACATTCAAAAAGCAGCTAATGGAATCTACCATATCAAAAGGCTAAAAAAAAAAATCAAATGATCATATCAATAGAAGCAGAAAAATTATATAACACCTATTCAGGATAAAAACTCTCAGCAAGTGGAAAGGGGCACCAGGGTGGGTCATCCAGTTGGGCATCCGACTCCTGGTTTCAGCTCTGGTCATGGTCTCTGGGTCCTGAGATCGAATCCCATGTTGGGCTCTGTGCTCTGTGCAGAGTCCGCTTGCCCCTCTTCCTCTACTCCTCCCCTATTCATGCTCTTCCCTCTCAGATAAATAAAAATAAATAAATAATAAAATAAATAAGGAAATAAAATCTTTTAAAAAATTTCAGCAAACTAGGGAGTACAGAGGAACTTCTTCAACTTGATAAAGAACATCCAGACAATGGAATTTTATTCTGTGCTGAAAAGAAGTGATTTATCTTTTTAAGCCATGAAAACACACCAAGGAAACTTAAATGCTTCTAACTACTGAAATATACCAGCCTGGAGAGGCTACGTACTCCATCATTCCAAGTATATGACTTATGGAAAAGTCAAAACTATGGAGTAACAAGATCAATGGTTGCCAGGGGTTAGTGGGGTGGGGGAAATGAATGAACAGAGCACAGATGATTTTTAGGAGACGGAAACTATTTTATATGCTCCTATAATGGTAGATACATATTGTTACACATCTATCTAAACCCATAGGATAAATGCCATCGAGAGTGAATCTTAATGTAAACTCTGGACTTCAGGTGTGTCTTAGTGTGACTGCTATAACAAAATACCACAGACTGGATGGTTTGAATGACAGACATTTATTTCTCAGTTCTGGAGCCTGGAAAGTCCAAGATCAAGGTGCTGGCAGATTTAAGTGGGGACCCCCTTCCTGGCTTGCAGATGGCTGCCTTTCCATTGCACCCTGACATGGCAGGTGAGAGAGCGAATGAGCTCTGGTCTCTGCCTCTTCTTATAAGGACAATAATCCCATTGTGGGGTTGTTACCCTCATGACCTCATCTAAACCTAATTACCTCCCAAATACTCCACCTCCAAATACTACTACATTGATTGAGGATCGGGGTTTCGATATATGAATTTGGGGGGAACAAACATTCAGTCCGTAACAGGATGATAAAAAATGTTCTTGCTGTTCCCGCACACTGGACTGTATGATAGCCTCAACAACTTGAAATGCCAATATAATCACATTAATAAAATGAAAAAACAGGCATGTGTGTGTGACTGTGTGCACATGTGCACGCACACACGCACAAAGCAGGGAGGGAGTATTACATGTTTCTCAAAGTTGCTTTTCTTTTGAAGTGTTCTAATGTCAAAAAATATTTGTCAGTGTGTACTATCCTGAAAATTATTCTCTTAGTTTCTATTATTTCTTTCTCACACACACGTACAATATAAATAATGTATTAGTGAAAGCATCACTTTAGTGCCTAGACAGAAGGTATAAAGTTCTTTGGTATGCTTCTAGCCAAAGGCTAATCATTTTTTATGTGTGCAAAGATGTGATTTGGAAAAAAATGTACCCTAACCGTGATGTGTTACTGACTATATCGTACTAAAAATGATAATACTCAAAAGAATTCTTCCTGGCAACGGGAAGAATATACTGAGAATAACCATAATAAAGATGGCCAGAAATCTTTTTCCTTGAGAACCAGACTGGAAACCTATTCTGTGAACCATCTGAAAAAGACTGTCAACCCTTGTAGAGTCATTTTTCAAACACAGCACCTGTGAGGGGAGCTCGGAGAGAAAGTTATGGGGCTATTACTGTCTTGGGTTCCTCTGTACTGTGGAGGTCAGCAGCACAAAAATTGACAGCAAACCATCAGCTGATGGGAAGTGAGGAATTAATACTATTTGGCTTTGAGACTTCAACACAGGCTTTGCAGACTCCAAGAATTTCTAATAGCAGACAAGCCAAGCTCGGTTTAATCCAACTTTTGGAGCTTAAAGGTAAAGATCAGAATTTCCTGCCACTCCAACCATGGGGCTACTGCTCAGAACATACAGGTTCCTGAGGCAGCACGGTGTATTAAGTCAAAAGTTTTGTGTGCCACAGATCACAGATTTCTGTTGAAGCCTAAATGATAGTGTATTTTGAGGAGGCTACTCCCAACTTTTCACATTCTAAGTAAACCATTTAAAATCAGAAGCACTTTTCTAAGAGGCTAGGGAAAGTGTTCACATAATCTAGAATTTAAATTCACATAATTCACATTTTAAAAGATGTTCATTTCCTTCAATGTCATCTATCACTGTCCAATAGGTTTTGATGTTTTTTCCCTTAAAAATGCTGATAACAGAAGCTCATGTAATAATGACTTCTAAGATGTATATTACCTGTGAGATTCATTTTCTAAATCTGTTAATCAGCCTAAACGTAGTAAAAAATAAAACTTACACTGAAATATTATTTGCACAATCAACTCTAATGACTGGTTCACACTAACAAAACTAGGAAAATAGTATATATGGTTCGTATAATAAATAAAATGTAAGCACAAAGTATTTCAATACATAAATAGAAGCTTTACACTTCCAAAATACAGTACATATATAAAATATACCTGTAAAATTTAATGACCTAGTATAAGCTACTATATTATAAATTACATATATTTTTCAATATAGAAATATATTCTCTCTAACATTTTAAATTTTAGAGATAACCTGAATGGTGGTATTATGGAGAATAATTTCATATACTGAACTTTTAAATAATTCATTGTTATTAATAATTCAGTGGAAGGGTATAACCGATAATATGAGTAATTTCTTAATTATGGCAAAAGTACTAGTTTAAGGAATATAAAGATAAATACAGTGTGCCATTTCCGTAGAGGCAGTTAATACTGACCATCAGTGGGAGGAGAACATATTTCCAGTATGGTGGGTCTTGAGTACCAGCTCTGTAGAGAGGTGTGGGCCAAAAAGCAGGGTTTCTATACAGGCAAATTACTAGGTTATCATCCCATTTCATTACTTACAAAAACTGCTTTAGAAGCACTCTTCCAAAGCAAAAGTATTTTTTAATGTGTCTGAAAAGTTAATACATCTACTGCTTCTCAATATTTCAAAGCCTGTATGATAAGCAAACCTCCACTTTAGACACTTTAAAACATGGGATATATATATATATATATATATATATATATATATATATATATATAAATTTGGACAAACTAACAACTTAGGAGTAATGGACAATTGAAGACATGTATTCCACTCCTTAAATAATGGTGAGGAAAAGTTACGATGATGCTTAACAAGACTTTGCTAGGTAAGTGCAGAAGGGTAGAAGGCCGGTACTAAACACACATCAGTGTTTGCCAATTTTATCATTTTGCCCAGCTGGATCAGTTATTTAAGGAGAAGTTTTATAAATAACTGGGTTATTTAATGAGAAGCTTTAATTTTAAAGTGGCTTGAGAACATCCATTCTTCCTGAAAGTTGATGTATAATGCTTTTATCTATTATTATGTTGGGGGATTTCTAAAGTCCTTGGGTTAATTTCTTATTCTCCTCAAATTCATGTAAACTTTCCAGTAAAGAGTACACAGTGAGTTAAAATCTCTTACAACTGTACTTACTTTCAGAAAGTATATTTCTTCCCGCAGCTTATTAGGAAATTAGTTTACAAATATAAATATAAATTAATCTTCCATTAACATCTAATTCCCATATATTCATGACATATAATCACTTTAACATAGCATTTTTGTTTCAAATTTTATCTTCTAAATAAAGCCTCCAATTTGGGGGGTAAATATACAGTCTGATTAAAATGTTTACACATATTAAATATATAGAGTATACGACAATTTAATTGCTAATGATCCACTGATACTTATTTTCTGTTTCTTCTTTTTGGGTTCTTTGTTCTTCTCGGTGATTAGCTGCAGTCCAAAATGTTATTTTTTTGAGTACTTGTTGCAGAAGTTTAGGAGGTAATAAAGATATCTGACTTTCTAAAATTATAGCATTTTTGCCAATGCAGTCAAGGCATGACCTGTAAATAAAACATAATAGAATTATTGGTTTTTGAACCTGAATCATAAAATATTTACAGGTAAGTATTCTTAATAAAAATCATCATAAAATGTTGAAATGGTAATGCATTTCCTCTGTATTGTTTGGAACATGATAGGATACATGTTCTTCCCAGAGCACCACAATAATTATATATTTTATAGCATATTGTGACCAAAATCCAGTGGAAACAAAAATTACAACTCACCATGCACCACACAAAATGTTATTTTTCTATTTTTAAAAAAAGATTGTATTTATTTATTCATGAGACACAGAGAGACAGGCAGAGACAGAAGCAGGCTCTCTGCAGGGAGCCCAATGCGGGACTTGATCCCAAGGCAGATGCTCATCTACTGAGCCACCTGGGGAGGCTCATGTTATTTAAGCAGAAAAAATTCAGACTTGATTTCAAAGCAGGTTAGTCTATCTTTTTTCATTTATCCTTCCAGTCCAAAAACTACTTAGTCTTCTTGAGAACTTTTTCTTCCATTGCCCCAAGATGAAGTATCTAACATCCATTTTTATGCCATATGGCCCGGTCCTCCCCATTCCCGTGCTGTAACTCAGTGCACTGGCACCCTTGACTAACACTGACCCAGATACAGCAGGTCTGAAGAGAGGAATGGAGCAGCAATACAGGAAGAGTCAATGAGAGACCACTTGAGGTTCTCCCCTTCCCCCTCTGTTCATTTTTCCCCTTTGAGTCTCCTGGAGACTAGTGTCCTTCCAAATACAATTCCCTTTTTTTCTTCAGCTACTTTGAAGAGGATTTTGGATTTTAAATCCAAAAGAAACTTGATTAAGAACTATCAAAAGAGGGATTCCCTGGGTGGCGCAGCGGTTTGGCGCCTGCCTTTGGCCCAGGGCGCGATCCTGGAGACCCGGGATCGAGTCCCACGTCGGGCTCCCGGTGCATGGAGCCTGCTTCTCCCTCTGCCTGTGTCTCTGCCTCTCTCTCTCTCTCTCTCTCTCACTGTGTGCCTATCATGAATAAAATAAATAAATAAATAAATAAATAAATAAATAAATAAATAAATAAATAAATAAATAAAACTATCAAAAGAGGGGATCCCTGGGTGGCTCAGCGGTTTGGCGCCTGCCTTCAGCCCAGGGCCTTATCCTAGAGACCCAGGATCAAGTCCCACATCGGGCTCCCAGCATGGAGCCTGCTTCTCCCTCTGCCTCTCTCTCCCGTGTCTCTCATGAATAAGTAAATAAAATCTTAAAAAAAAAACAAACTATCAGAGCATCTGTTTGAACGGATAAACTTTAAACAATAAATCTTTTTAAAAAGGTTTAAAGATAGATTCACTTGATTCTGTCATTAACTTCCATTGTCATTTTTACAAATACACTCTAGATATTTGCATCTTCTTCCATACTTTCATGAAGCCTTTTCTCTGTACTCTGGGAAGTCTAAGGAAGGAGAATGAAAATGTTCTACATAGATAGGGGAGAAGTACAAGCAAACGACACGAATCTTACACTTGATGTCAACTTCACTCTGCTGCCCTGGTAGCACGATAGCTCCTGTGCCCCTTCCACATGGGGGAAGGAAGAGTCAGATGGGGAGATCGACTCTGTTGTTACTATTCATTCACTGATTCAACAAATACTTATTCGTGTGCACTATTTAGGAGGAAGCAGCCCAATATTGAGAAAACTTCCATTTCAACCCCTTTTAAAAAAGCTTTTATTTATTTGAGAGAGAGAAGGAAGGGCGGAAGACCGGACTCCTCGCTGAGCTGAGAGCCGAACGTGGGGCTCGATCCCAGAACATGGAGATCTTGACGAGCTGAAGACAGGGCTTAACCGACTGACCCAGCCGGGCGCCCTTTACATTCCCTTTGATGCATCGAAAATCGCTCAGCCTTAAAACAATGTGTGCACATTCCCAGAAGCGCCACACTAGGGGCAAAGGGCGCTGCCGCGAAGCCGGCCGGTCGGCCTCGGCCCCAACCTCAGACCCAAGCCCGTTCTGTGTGGCCTATCGGCGTCCGTCGTTTGTGTGGGGGCAGCGCCCCATCCCGGTTCCCCTCCCTTGCAAGCCCCGCAGCAAGCCGAGCGGACGGCGCGGCCGGGTGGGGAGCACGGCCCCGAGGCTCCCGGGCTGCCGTCACTTCGCCGGCTCCCCTCCCCCGTCCTTGATTCTGTGTGGAAAGCCGTTCTGCTCTAGATACCCGCACTCTGGGCGTTCCACCCCCGAACTCTTCCCCGAGGATTTAGTAGTAAACTAAGAATAGAGAGCTTAGTTGAATAGGGCCATGAAGCACGCACACGCCGCCCGTCACCCTCCTCGAGTGCGTGCACACGCCCCTCCTGGACCGCGGCCTTGCGTCCCGGGCCGACGCGCACTCCCTTCCCGGTCCTCCAGCCACAAAGGCCCCTCCAGCCTCAGCTTCCTCTCCTGCCCAGCCCGGTCCGTCTGCGCTTCATTCTCTTCCAGCAACTCTACCCCCCTTGGCCGCCGTCCTCCTCCGACCCCCGGTGGACCGGGCCACCTGGCCGCTCCGAGCCGCCAGAGAAAGGCCTGCTGGGCAGACGGGCTGTCCCTGCCCCCTTCTCCTCCGTCTCAGCCCTCCGCCCCCTCCCCAGTGCTCAGCTGTGCTACACAGCCCTCGTCCCAATCTTCTCGAAGCCACGGAGGCAGTGATTTCCGATCTTCCTCAACCCTCGCAGTTCAAATCCTCACATCTCCTCTTTCTCCCCCCCATGACCTCACTACCAAGTAAGACTTGCTCAGCGCCCTCTCCCTATACCCCTTCCAGCCAACAAATTACTCTGCCTTTATATCCCTACTGCCGACTTTCCTCATTACTTTAAAGTATTCTTCTCAACAACTAATTCAGTTACCTGCTCACTAAAATCCACCTCAAGATCCTGCTCTGACAATTTTTCCTTTGTTTTCTTGTTTCCAAAACCTGGTTGCGGCTTCTCAGCATATAAACAATTACCTTTCAACAGCTTGAGGATTAGGGGCACCAAGGCTCCCCATGCAGTAGAAAATCCACACCTAACTTTTGACTCCCCCAAAACGTAATTACTAATGGTCTACTGTGGAACTGGAAACTTTACCCATAACATAGTCAATAAACATACATTTTATATGTTATGTATTATATACCGTATTATTACAGTAAAGTGCACTGGAAAAGAGAAATTCTATTAAGAAAATCCTAGTGAAGAGAAAATACATTTACAGTGCTGTGTGGATTTATCGGGAAAAACCTGCATATCAGTGAAACTGTGCAGTTCAAATCGGTGCTGTTAAAGGGTCAACTGTATCCTTACTTTTCCTGTGGTCTTAGTGCTGCTCCCCAGAAATTATCCATGGCACTTTGCAATCCAGATATTCTGTGACCTCTTTCCAGCAAGTAGTCTCTCCATCTTCAGTTCTCTCCTCCCTCCATTTTGCATTCCCATTATCTCCTGATTCATCTTTCATTATCTTGTGCTTCTTTAACTCCTCAGATGTTATGAGTTCCTAGTGCTCAGTTGTTGGCTTCATCCTTGCTCTATCCCAGCTGGAGTGTTGATTCCAACATGGGGCTTGCACTCATGACCCCGAGCTCAAGATCTGAGCTGAGATCTAGAGTTGGATGCTTAACCAACTAAGCCACCCAGGAGCCCCTAACTATGATTCTTAAATCTTTATGTCTAGCCCAGACATCTCTCCATATATTTGACTAGTTAATGAATAGCTCCATTAAAGACACTAAGTACTTCAATTTCAAAAGGCCCCAAACCAAATTCATCTTTCTACGCCGTCCCACCTTCAAACTCACTTCCTTCTTTTTCTTTTTTTAATATGGGTTTTTGGTTTTTTTTTTAAGATTTTTTATTTATTTATTCATGAGAGACACAGAGAGAGAGGCAGAGACACAGGCAGTGGGAGAAGGCTCCATGAAGGGAGCCTGACGTGGGACTCGATCCCAGGTCTCCAGGATCACACCCCGGGCTGAACGCAGCACTAAACCGCTGAGCCACCGGGCTGCCTTCACTTCCTTCTTCATAGCCTATTATTCTTTACTCTTCTTCCCCTACCAAGCCCATTCTACCTCTATCCCTTCTCCAACTCCACTTTTAAGATCAGCCCCACACTTTATGCTTGACCACTGCAAGTCTCTTTTTTTAAATTTTTTTTTTAATTTTTATTTATTTATGAGAGAGAGAGAGAGAGAGGCAGAGACATAGGCAGAGGGAGAAGCAGGCCCCATGCACCGGGAGCCCGACATGGGATTTGATCCCGGGTCTCTCCAGGATCAACCCAGGATCGCGCCCTGGGCCAAAGGCAGGCGCCAAACCGCTGCGCCACCCAGGGATCCCTGCAAGTCTCTATTAACTTTCGTTACCCAGTCACATATCCCTCCAATCTCTTAACCACATTCTTCTCAAAGGAGCTTTCTAATTTGTAATATGATCAGCTTATTCCTCTGCTCCAGATTTTTCAGTGGTTCTTTGATCTCCCACAAGATAATGTAAACTCATCTGCATGAAACACAAAAGCTCTAATTGATACAAGGTTTCTGATTTCTTCTCCTACTCCACATCTCAGGCTTATGTCTAGGAATGCTCAAGAATTCAGTTTCCAGAACATACCATACTCATATACCCTGTACAAACACCCTTGCAATGCTTGTTCATAGCAAATTGTCTCTAACTCTTCCTCTTCTGCAAAGACTCCCCTAACTCTCTCCATCTTAACTACATGAATAGAGGGTCTTCTTTGCCAGTCTCATTATCTTTGTATAGGTTTCTCTTAAACAATTTTATTTTTCTTTTAGAGTTGTTGAAAACCTGCCTTCTATTTTACTAGCAATTTAAGGAAAAGAACATGACTTTTCACTTCATAGCATAATGCTTTCCCATGGTAAGCACTCAAATACTGTATTATCCCTGAATATAAGGAACTTGCAATCTACTTAGGGAAAGTAGTTATGTTCACAGCAAAAGTTAAGAAACAATACAAGGCGGTAATCATGACATCAGCAATTTCCAAACTGCCTGCATGTTAGAATTATGTTGGATTCTTCCAAAAATTCCAAAGTTCAGGCTACATCCCAGACCAATTAAATCATAACATGTGGGCATGGAACACAGGCATCAGTACTTTTTGAAGTTCCCTGAGATTCTAACCTGCAGTAACGGAAGGAACCACTACAATAACAGAAGGAGCAGTTAAGAAAGCCATTAGGATGGTCCAATTTGAGCTGGTCCAGTGGTTTTCAAGTAGTTCAAGCTGTAGAATGTCTGGAAGTTAGACTATTCCTTGACATCTAGCATGTCAGCTTCTCTCTCACATGCCTTCACCCGTGTTATTCCCCCTGCATAAATAACTACAGTTGGTCACTTGGCAACTTCTACTTTACTCAAACCCTTCCTCCTGACCCTCACAGGCAGAAACAGGGGCTTCTTCCACAATCTTTCAACTGAACCTTGAATATACTCTTTTTTTTATTTTTATTTATTTATGATAGTCACAGAGAGAGAGAGAGAGAGAGAGAGAGAGAGGCAGAGACACAGGCAGAGGGAGAAGCAGGCTCCATGCACCGGGAGCCCGACGTGGGATTCGATCCCGGGTCTCCAGGATCGTGCCCTGGGCCAAAGGCAGGCGCCAAACCGCTGCGCCACCCAGGGATCCCGAATATACTCTTTTTAGAGCACAAGTGTATGAGCTAAGATACCATAAATCATACCACCAATTTAGTAACATTTTTGGTGGTAAAAAAAAATTCTACTAAATTAAGTGCACATATATGTGTGTCTATTACTGGACACACATTGATTTCAGAAAAGTTAAAAATACGAAAAAATTCAGGCTTAGAATCAAGGAAATACAGTATGTTTAATACTCCCATGTGAACTAAATGCAATTTTATGCACAAAATAAAAATATGATTGTATTGTATATTTTAATTTTTAAATATCCTGTTGGTATGTGGTTCACTACTATAAATTTGATTATACTTTTAGGAAGATGTAAACATTTTCTTAAATTCAAATCATAAACTATTTGAAAAATTATCACACTTCCCAAAAAGGAAGATGAAAGAAATTATCATATATTAATAGTGTATATATATGTATATATATATATATACATATATAATGAATTCACTTACCTGAGTAGTGAATAAGGCTGTGTTTGAAAGATCAATAAATCATTACAGTGGCCCTAATCAACATAAAAAAAGAATTATCAAGGTGTTTAAAAGAATGAAAATGCATTAATAATTGAATTTTTTATTTTATAAATGTAAAAGAAATGATGTAAAGCAGCAAATAAAACTCCTCCCTCTAGTTATTCACATACACACATATGGACACACAACATACATATGCATACACACACCTGCTAGCCACAAAAACTTTGGGTACATTGCTACCATTTCTCAGTGACCAAGTTTTTACCTAATCACAACCTATACAATTGCAAAATTAAACTCAGATGCATGTTCTTCTCTTAGAACAGTGAGTTCAAAATGAGAAAAGTGGTGGTTTTCAAGCTTTTTTGTTTTTTAAGCAGAACTTTTCTCTTCCAAATGACTCTTATTTAAAATTTCTTTATCTTGTCTCTCTTTTCCAAATCCTGGGAATCTTCATTTGGAAATCTCAGATCCAGAAGATTTTATGAATAATGATTCTCTCATCTAAAAGTTAGTGTCAAAGAATCAGCAGAAAATGTCCCTAATCCTTTCAGATAAGTCTGCAGAATTTCATAATTTATGATCATGATTTTAATCAAAATTCCTGTTTTTTTTAAAGACTTTGTTTATTCCTGAGAGATACACACACAGAGAGGCAGAGACACAGGCAGAAGGAGAAGCAGGCTCCATGTAGGGAGCCCGACCCCAGGAACATGCCACCCTGCCAAAGGCAGACGCTCAACTGCTGAGCCACCCAGGCGTCCCAGAATTCCTGTTTTAATGATAAACTCTGTATCCTACTGATTTCTAGTGCCAAGAAAAAGAAGACAAACCACAAAATTTGCTTTTTAATTAAATGCAAAGTCGTGGTTTTAATCTTTTGTTGAAAAACTGAATTCTCAGCCAAAGAAAAGTTCTAAAACTTTCAATGTATGTAATGTTTAAATCAGAGGCTTCAAAACTAAAAGTAAACCAAATTCCCTGGAGATAAGCCAGCTCATTTCACGGTTTGCCACATGGCAGGCACAACTCTGGAGATCATGTGTCAGTGAGCTGGCGCCAACGTGGCTGGATTCTGGCTGGTGCACCCTATCCCTGCCAGCTCCGAGGCCAGCTATTCCCAATGCCCTATACAAACCAGAGCAACCGATCCTGAGCTCCTGTCCCATCACAACACAGTATGGGCATGACCACCTTGCTCTGAATTGCCCAAGGTGCTAGAAGTGAAAGAATGATGCTCTCCAAATGTTATTCATTTATTTCTTTGACCTTAGTTTTATCAAATTTTAAAACTGTAATGCTTTCATCTTAAATATAAAATGGGTAAAGCAATGGCAAAAGACACATAGAATAAAAAGAAAAATACACTTAAAAATTTCAAACTGCATTCCTCTTGATGGGAGAAGCTAGCATTGGTGTTCTAGTTATTAACTGAGGCAGCAAATTTCATGGGTACTTATTACTCTACTTAGTTTATATATACATTATATATATTCTTATGAAATATCTCTAATTTGCAAATATTTTAATTCCAAAAAATTAAAAACACCCATACTATGATGAGGCTCAAAGAGGAAAGGAAGAGTCCTCCTTTAAAAGCTCTTCAGGGGATCCCTGGGTGGCGCAGCGGTTTGGCGCCTGCCTTTGGCCCAGGGCGCGATCCTGGTGACCCGGGATCGAATCCCACGTCGGGCTCCCGGTGCATGGAGCCTGCTTCTCCCTCTGCCTGTGTCTCTGCCTCTCTCTCTCTCTCTGTGTGACTATCACAAATAAATAAAAATTTAAAAAAAATTTAAAAAAATTTAAAAGCTCTTCAAAGCTCTTTGTGGGAGACCTGGGTGGCTCAGCGGTTGAGCATCTGCCTTTGGCTCAGGGTGTGATCCTGGGGTCCTGGGATCCAGTCCTGTATCGGGCTTCCTGCATGGAGCCTGCTTCTCTCCCTCTGCCTGTGTCTCTGCCTCTCTCTCTCTCTGTATCCCTCATGAATAAATAAATAAAATCTTCTTAATAATTTGACTAATGAGATTAATAGACCTATTTTGACTTGTAAACTCAAAATATCCTTAAATGCTTCACAAAAGCCACTCATTCTGAAGATTAATCACACTACAGAGTAACATTTCATATTCTTCCATATTTTGCAATGTAGGAATATCAACAATCTTACTGAACAGCCATTTAGTTTGATTAACAAAACCACTCAGAGGAAATATTTAGATATGAAATTTTCTTACTGTATCCAAGGAAAGTAAATCATCCTTGCTCCCACCAAATACCATTATTTCATTTTCTTTCCCCAAACAGGCCGTATGCCATAACCTATTATTGAAAATTATAAGCAGAGTAAAATATTATGAAGAAAGAAACTGTATGTGACATATAAATCCATTTTAAACTGCACATTTTCACTTTTAATCTATTTCAAAATGGGCATGATTGAACTTGAACCTTTGGCGTATCCTAAAAGAGATTAGATTTTGAAGATTCCTCTAGAATCACTAAAAGATTAGATTCTCATTAAATCATGTCAATTAAGGAGGTAACTCCCAATAACTCTTTTCTATTATATTCCCCAACCTTTTTCTAAACTCTTTATCTCATAGACTTTATCACTGAAATAAAATGAATTAAAAAGAAACTGATCAGCCTATTGGTGAAGTGGTCCCCTTTCCCAAGTTTCTTATTATGATCTGCCATGTTACTGTTTTTTTTTTTAATCACTTTTGACTTTTCTTTCCTGTTTTCTGTTCCCCAACACCTAACAAACCCAACATGGCAATCCCTTCACATTTATACTGTCACACTACTTATCACTCTGGGTACAGAATACCAGAATTATTATTGGTTTTTCTGTCTCTACTCTCTCTCAACTATATTTAGCTGACAAATAATATTTTTCACATGTTTTTAACCATGAGCATGTCCTGATCAGGAAGCAACTGTGCCATTTTTCTTAGGCTCATAATCACGATCAACAATTATTTCTTTAAAAAGAAAACCATTATTTCTTTTTCCCATAATTCTTAATTCTTAGCTTCCTCCCCCTGCAATTAACCCTCTACTCCAATCAAGTTCATTTATTTGTGTCTCCTAAGAGAAAAGCTTACCTATCTGTAGGCTTTTGCTCACCCTGTGTCTTATGTTTAGGATGAGAAATCATTCTTTCAGAGCCTTTAACACAGGTTCAAAATCCCCAGGAAGTGTCAAAATACCCAAACAAACTGGTTCTACTTCCCTCTCTGGTTAGCACCTTTGAACATTTATGTGCTCATTTTATAATCTTCTGCCTTACATTTGAAGATAAACTGTTCTATATACTACTTTAATTATTTGATGTGTGGATCTTCTAAAGGTCCACATATGAGATCCTTGGATCAAAATTTGCCAGTGGTGTGCTGGAAGTAGCTTACCAGGTAGTTAAAATAAATTCTGCCTATCTCTATCCAAATCCATGTTCAGTGCCATCACATAGGTAGCTTGAAATTGACCACAGTAACACTACAAATTAGGGCTTTTTTGTTTTGTTTTTCCTGGAAAGCAGTTGTTAACCCTTTACCAGCACACCACTGGAACTTGAGTAATCTAATTTTATGCTTCTCTTTAAAAATGCCTAAATATGGTGTTTTGCATCCAGTGGGTGCTCAAAAAGTCTAATTAACAAAAGGAAATACAAAACCACCATATTTAATTCAATTATTAAATAAATTATCTCATAAGAATAGAGCATCGTGTGGAAATGATCTAATAGCTCATATTCATCTCCAATTTCACATTATTTATAAAGAATAATCTTATGTTTCATAAAATTCAATATTTCTGGGAGCTCTCACTCTCAGGAAAAAAAGTACATGTAAATTTCTCAATTTTAGAAGATAAATCAAGAATTTTACAAAGTCATTGCTCTGACTCTGAGAGAATTTTGATGACTTTCCTTAACAGACCAAATTGCCGAAGCAAAAGACACCTCATTACACATTATTTTATTACCACGTAACTTATTTTTAGTACATTTAACCTTTTCACTCAACTCTCACAAGTGCAAACAGTAGGATTATGCACAATGTGTTAAATTAAATACTTTCCTCAAACAATCACTCACACACCCAACGACAGTTGCACTCAGGACCCAGGATAGAACTGAGTCTTAAGGGATTTTGTTTAGGAAATACTCTGCCCAATTCTCCAACTTATATGGTAGAACATGAATTGATATAAGTCTTCATGACATCCAGATTATGATGTGGGCTTGGGGAGGGGGATTGGATAAAGGGAAGAGAATACAAGGAATGCTAAATTTCCAAGGTGAGAAGGCCATGTATAACTTCAGCAATAGTAATGGGATCCAACAGGAAGTCCCTGAGGCTCCATAAGTCAACACTTTGTTGGACTTCTTTTACAGACACCTTAAAAAAAAAGGGTGCTGACAGCCACTTTTACAGGCAATGAGATATAGCTATATAGATGGCCTTTCAACCAAGCATTGCTCCAACTATGGTGAGACCTGGAGAAAAGAGTGCCACGCTATAGAACAGTGGTTTTCAACGAGGGCAGATTTGGCCCCCAAAGAACATTTGACAATATCTGAAATATTTTTGGTTGTCATAATTCCAGGTATGGGGGGGCAGTACTACTGGCATCTAGTGGATAAAGGCCAAAAATGCTGCTAAACATCCTACAGTGCACAAGACACTCCTAATAACAAAGAATAATTTGGTCCAAAATGCCAATAGTGCCGAGGTCAAGAAATCCTGCTGTGGAATTACAAGAGGAGAATTGGGCCATTTACATTTCAAATTATAACTTGGAACAGTTTGTACAAAATGTATTTAGATGTTAAGTAAATTCTCATTCGTTAAAAATTAGTACACATACACATATATATGTTCTCCTTACACTAAACTGTATCCCACCTGTTCTTCTCCTCACCTCATACCTGAAGATAGATCTGCCTCTGTCTTATCTGCCTTAGGGAAACTCTGGCCTGGACTTCATCATCGAAGAACACTGGAAAGCCTTTCCTGCCTTGATTTTGGTGACATCTAGCTTGCAACCTGATGTTTTGTCTCTAGACTGATAGTTTATGTCCTCTCACAGCTGCTCTAAACTTATCACCTAAACATTCTAATAAAGCATATTATTTACATGACATATCAGCTGAATTCAAAGAAATCTCTTTACATAGCTCAGTTCTAATACATTATTGATAATAGTTGTGTTGCTCTAATTACTTATTAAGGATTGAATTATAAAATAGGAGCAATTTAAAAATTAAACATATTCTTACTATCACTTTGGTCTAAAATTAATGCATTCATTAATTGAAGAATTCATTGATTGTTCAAACAACTGCAAGAGAACTAAGAGCTTCTCTAGTCCAATTCCCTCATTTCATGGGATGAAGAAATTATTGCTCAGTTTCATTAAGTGACTTTGCTGAGCAAGGACTAGAACTCTGGGCTCCCATATCTTAATATAAAACTCTTTAAATTAAAAAATGAATTTCAAAAGATCCAAATTGCTAAAATAATACACTCCAATGAATTTTTACACATGAAAATATAAGAATCACATATGTAGATATGATAAACTCTAAACATTTTGTGCATATTAATATAGATATAGGCACTGAAATATATACAAAAATTTTCAGGCCTTTTTCTCAAGTAAGTTGCTTCATTGCTACTTATTAAACTTCTGAAATGCATACCATTAAGTTGACTTCATACTATACATAATCTATAGCAAAAAAATTCTGAAATACATAGCAAGGAAAAGAGTAAAATTACTAACTAATGATTATAACGTGCTGACTCTGAATTTCTTATGAATGTATTTTTATTATACTACTCACTTAAATTAGAATAAAAAGAATTACAATACCAATGTGGTTTTCTTTGTACAGTTGACCCTTGAACAACGCAGGGGTTGGGATGTTGATACCTCCCAGAGTTGAAAATTGACATATAACTTTTGGCTCCTCAAAACTTAAGTATTACTAGCCTACTGTTGACCAGAAGTTTTACCAATAACATAAAGTCAATAAATACATATTTTGTATGTTATATGTATTATATATTGTATTCTTACAATAAAGTAAGTTAGAGAAAAGAAAATGTTATAAAAAAACCAAATAAATAAAAAGCAAAATGAGATCTATGAACACACCCTGATGATTGAAAGGAAAAGGTAATGGAGCTATTAGCAAAATGGGTGAAGAGTATTGGGAGATACAGGCTTCCAGTTATGGATGAATAACTCATGGGAATAAAAGGTAAAGCATGGGAATATACTTGCTGATACAGTAGTAGCATTGTATGGTGACAGATGTTTCCTACAATTGTGGGGAGCATAGGACAATGTATGGAGTTGTAGAATCACCATGTTGTACATGTGAAGCTGACATTGTATGTCAACTAGACTCATATTTTAAAAAATAAAATTTTATTAAGAAAATCATATGGAAAATACATTTATAGTACTGTATTTCTTTTAAAAATCCATATAAGTAGATCCATGCAGTTCAAACTCATGTTGTTCAAGGATCAATTGTGGTCTAAAAATATATTGTTTCTACAACTTTCACTCTATAATATACCACAAATAACTAACATGTTTCTTTTTCAAAAAATTTATATTAATGAATACATCAGTTAATAAAAATAACAATCTGCCATCTATTTGATCAACATGAAAGTAATTTTCTCATTACATTGAAGTAAACCTCTTCCAAAAATAAATAACTACTAAAGCCAAACTCATTCTTGTCTACTTATCAAAAAAAATTAACATTATATGATACTTCCAATTTCTTAGCCTTTTCATATTTATCAGGAAAGATTATACATTTACCTAAAAGAGTAACATTTTCAAATATTTAAACATAGATGAAAACAGAATAGATAATTTCTAACAGTGAGATATAATTAAAATGATAATTAAATCATTTAGGTAACATCAAGCTTATTTGAAAGATCTTTCTTGATGATTTATGATTTTAATGGCAAACACTATAAAATCAGTGCTATATTTTAATACTTCAGAAATTCTTAACTATTTTACTATTCATTAATTTCTAGACTTACCTGGGTCTTGTTTTAGGTAAGTGAATAAGTTGTTTCCAACCATTTGTTATGACATTATAAATCCAACCATCACCTGCAATATTATGACAGTTCAGAAATTCAGATTAGGTCTTTGGGATAAAATTTAAAATTTTCCCAATTTATAATGCTACATTTATGCAACTATCTTTTGTATGTATGCATATTTACTCACAAAAATTTTTAGAAATATACACAGGTAGAGTGACCATGACAATGAGCCCTCACATATCGCAGATTCAACTACCAAGATTTTATCACATGTGCCTCATTTATCTCTTTTTTTGTTATTCTTGTGGCTCAATTACTCTAAAGCAAATCCTAGATCTCCTGTCATTTTCCCCATATATACTTCAGTAAATATCGCTTTAAAAAATACATTTTTTACAGAACCACAATGCCATTATCTCATTACCACAATGCTACTATCATAGTCAACAAAATTAAAAGAATTCACATACTAGCCAGAAGTTAGGCTGAGTCTGTACAGGAGGAAACCAACCAGACTAAGAGTTAGGACATGGAATTTCCCACATGTCAATGACCCAAAACAGCAAATTGTAATTAAAAACATTAGAGCTCAAAAAGACATGATATTAAACAAGCCCTACTGAAAAAAAAATAGATGTTTTTTATTAGACTCCAAATCTCTTTTCATTAAAACCGTCAAATTGGAGAAGCATAACAATCCGCAGTAACTAACATCCCCTACTAGAAACTCCTGTTTCTCTAACCAGCCTCTGGAGTTTGTTGCCCAGCAGACTGCCAGATGCACAGCTAATGCTCAATTTTTGTTGAAAAATAAGTCATTGTTTCCAGATCCTATATGGAATTATATAAATGAGTCCCTTATGAACACATCTCTAGTCATGGAAAATTTCTGGGTTAAGAAAACACAAAACATCTAACATATCAAACTAAGAAGCGGATACTCTTGGTCATGTGTCTATACTGATGTCACAATTTTACTGCTGGGAAAAAAAAAACCCACATTACAAAACCTAGCCATTGGAATCAGCAGTGACAGGAGTTTAAAGATTCTGGCTAAGCACTTTCCTTTATAGTTCTGGAACAAAAAGAGAAGCAACTGGCCTTCCCACCTTATATTTCCAGAGCCTTCTGGGGAAGACTGTTCTTCTAATCCCCATTCCAGCCTACAGTGTAAGTATCTGGATCAAAAATCAGGAAGGCACAGAATCACAGAATATTATAGTTGAAAGGGACTTTAATTCATCTAGGTTCAACCACCCTTCCTTTTCTATATACCTAGGAAACAGGAGAACATGGAGAGCCAAAGGTACTAAATAAAGCAAAGGGGTCTTCTAATTCTTAATGCAAGCATACAGTTGGAAATAAAGGTAAACCAGAAAATAAAAAAATAAAAAGAAAGACATCTTAAGTATCAAATATGATTAAGAAAAAAGAATGAAATAATAATTGTAGAATAAACTTTAATTGACTTACTTAATGGAATATTGTCTGCACTTAGTCCACCAAATAGAAAAAGTTTATCATCAGCTATTGGTGTTAAAGTATGCCATGACCGATGTTTGGGGTTTTCTCCATTAACAGGAATCCTGTGGCAAGGGAAAAAAAAAAAAAAAAAAATATATATATATATATATATATATATATATATATATATATATATAAATCTACTTACTATATTAGTCAAAAGAAAAGGTTTTTGATCATCTCAGATAAAAAACTGTCCTCACAACTTTTTTAAAACTCTGATTTTACTATCTTCACTTCCATTAAGATTTTAAAAACATTCATAAATGCTTAGGTGAATTTAAACAATCTTTCCATTTAAAACAATCTTTCTGTTTAGCGTCCATTCCACCTGGTCACAGAACACAGACTGAAAATTACAAAGCGAATTCCCAGGGCATATTTCATAAGTTTCTTGTTGTTTAATCCATATAACTTCCTCAAATTTTCAACATAATTATTTTCATGTCTGTAACTTTTTACTGTTGGCCCATGTTCAATTTTGTATTTTCAGTTGATTTCCTCAAGGACATTATGGGATTTGGGTGTTGTTGCTTTTACTTTCCCAAAGCTTCTTCACCTGAAAATGCTAGCTATTCTAGCTTCAAAATAAAGGTATACAAGCCATTCCAGATCCAGGATAAATCTCTAAAGATTTCAAAAAATACTGCCTTACTCTTAAAAAAATAAAAACATGGGGCGCCTGGGTGGCTCAGTCGGTTAAGTGTCTGCCTTTGACTTAGGTCATGATCCCAAAGTCTTGGGACTGAGCCCCATGTCTAGCTCCTTGCTCAGCAGAGGATCCTGTTTCCCCTCTCCCTCAGCTATTCCTTCCTGCTTCTACTGTCTCTTTCTTTTTCTGTCAAATAATAAATAAAATCTTTAAAATAAAGTAAAAAAAAAAACATAAGTACAAAAGTTTAATTTAGGAGGTGAGAAAATATCGTTCTCCAGCATTCTGAAATGTTCCAGAATAATCTGGGCCATTTGTGAAAGATAAAATTATTTTTTCCAAAATGGAATTATTTTTACTGTTTGTATTGACTATAAGAATTATTTTGGTTACAAAATGTTCAACAACTACAAAAGTATTTTTAAAAAGGAGCATGCTCTTATAATCTTGTCTTCTAGCAATAGGAAATAGTAATAATTTTGTATATATCTCTTTAGGTTTTAATGTACATTTAGCCTATTAAAAATATATAAATGAGATCATATATTCTGCTCTGCAAATTTTTTCATTCAACTAATATTTTAGAATATTTCTATGAGTGTAACTTCCTTTGGTAATGGAAGTATGGTGGCCCACTGGGCAAATGAACCAGGATTTAAAGAATCCCTGCTTGTGAACATGAGGGATGACCTCTAGCTTTTGCTTTTATAATAATGTTGTAATACACGCACTCACACACACACAATTATTGTCTTTAGAGAAATTCTGGATGAAAGTAGAAATTTGATTTTACATTTTAAACATACTGTCAAACTATCTTCCAGAAAAACTGTACTAATTTATACTCCCACTAATTGTGTTGTTACAACCTAGCACACTGGTCATTTGTAATCCTCTTTATCCGATAAGTGAAAACTATTATTTTTAGCTCCATTTCTTTGATTGTCTTTAAGGTTGAACATCTTTTTAAAATAACTTTTGCCCATTTGTATTTCTTCTATGAGTTGCTCATTTATGTTCTTTGTCCACTTTTCTGTTGGATTGTCTTTTTCTTACTGATTTTCTGAGTTCCTGTGGGTTTGAGCTCTGTTAAAAATACTGCAAATATGACTTCCAGTTTGTTTTTTGTTTGAATTTTCCAGTTTGCCTTTTAACTTTGATAAAGTTTTCTATACAGAAAAACTTAATTCTTATGTGGTCTTAACAGTCTTTTCATTTATGAATTCTGGGTTTATACCATCTTTAGAAAAACTTTCTCTATGCCAAGATTTATTTATTTATTTATTTATTTATTTATTTATTTATTTATTTATTTATTTATTTACTTATTTATTTATGATAGTCACAGAGAGAGAGAGAGAGAGGCAGAGACACAGGCAGAGGGAGAAGCAGGCTCCATGCACCGGGAGCCCAATGTGGGATTCCATCCCGGGTCTCCAGGATCACGCCCTGGGCCAAAGGCAGGCGCCAAACCGCTGCGCCACCCAGGGATCCCGCTATGCCAATATTTTAAACACAATCTGCTATCTTCATTTCTGGCACTTTCACAGTTTCATTTTTAATAGTATTTTTATTTTGGAATAATATATAGCTATGATTCCATCTCATTACATGAATAGCTGAAACGATAGCTAAATGGATTTGTTCTATTGTTAAACATATATTTTGAACTACAAATAAAATCTGACTTTTACCAACTTCATTTTGTTTACTTGTGATGATCCCAATAAACTGTTCCTTTATTTCTTCTACTGACCAGTTCTCAAGAATATTTAATATAAAACCAGTACTTTTACATAGTCACTTTTCAACTGCTGGTATTCTCAAGTTTTATATGGTTTGGTTAAAGAACAAACTCTGCATTTAAATCTGTATATTCCTATATTAGATATATAATCTGAAGAAAATGATACTAGTTCAGTTTTACAGACTCAAATTTGGATTACAGTCCCAAACACATACACACACACACACACACACACACACACACACACACTCCTTTCGATTAAAATATACTTAAATCTCAAACTTACCTTCCAGACCAAGTCCAGGTATCTAAGTTCAGATAGTGCAAATCATTCATCCTAGTTTGCTAAAACAAAAGTGTGTTATTAGTCTGTGTTTTACATCTTTTATGGGCTAAAATTTCAATTTTAAAATTAGTTCAGATTAAAAATAGACCATCTCCATTTTACTTAACATCAGAAGTTTGCATGTTGGGAAACCATGTTAAGGGTTAATAAAATTAATATAGAGCTACCAAATTAATGTGTCAAAGGGAAAATAAGAAAACTAACAGGATTTGGGATGCCTGGGTAGCTCGGTGATTGAGCATCTGCCTTTGGCTCAGGACGTGATCCTGGAGTCCCAGGATCCAGTACCACACTGGGCTTCCTGCAGGGAGACTGCTTCTCCCTCTGCCTATGTCTCTGTCTCTCTCTCTCATGAATGAATAAATAAAATCTTAAAAAAAAACTAACAGGATTTAAATATTAAGAAGTTAAACTTTTCTGGTTATGCATTGAAGGATTCTCTCATTAAAATATGATTTATAAATCATCTGTGATTACTTGTTATAGTCTGTTTAGGAGATTAAAAATAAATAAAAGTTATTAAATGGCAATTTAGTATCTAGATAATTTGAATATTCAGTTGTTCCCCAAAATCAGAAAATAATTTTTGTAAGAAGAATCACATATAAAAATATCATATCCATTAAAAACACTAACCAAAACACGTCCTCCAAAGATATAGCCCTTATTCCCAAGAACTGCACACGTGTGCGCGGCGCGTGGCTGTGGTGGAACTCCACCCTGCAAGAAGACATGAGAAAACAGAGGGCAAAGCCTTGAAACATCTCTAAGGAAGTCACACTTCTATGCTGAGTATGAGAAATACCTGACTACCAAACCACCATTGCCTCTCTAACTCAATAAAAGTCCTAATGCAGAAGTTCATTCTAAATAGTAATGATTATAGCGGCACCTGGGTGATTCAGTTGGCTAACCATCTGCCTTCCACTCAGGTAATGATCTCAGGGTCCTGAGATCCAGACCCACATCAATCTCCCTGTTCAGCAGAAAGTCTGCTTCTCTGTCTCCCTCTGTTGCTCCTCCTACTTGTTCTACTCTCTAAATAAATAGAATCTTTAAAATATATATTAAAAAATAAATAGTAATGATTACAGACAAATACCATTCTTCAAGAATGAAATTTATGGGCAGTTGGTTGGGCACCTGACTCTTGATTTTGGTTCAGGTCATGGTCTCAAGATTGTAGATTAGTTCCACCATGGGTCTCAGCTCAGCGGGGAGTCTGCTTGAGCTTCTTTCTCTCCCTTCGCCTCTCCCTACCCCACTCATGCTCTCTCTCTGTCTCTCAAATAAATAAATAAATCCTTTAAAAAAATAATGAAATTTACTCATCCTGATCTTTACTTTTTAAAGTGCTTTTTTCTTAAATGCCTGACACTATTCGGCAAAATAAGATTTTATGTAAATTTCAGCTTGGAATATAAGGATTCAAAAATCAAATAAAAAAAGATTCTCTTTCTCCCTCCTTCTCTCTCCCCCCCCAACCCTTCCCCCACAGAGTTAATATGAGTAACCAGTGCACAATGTGATGATCTCAGAGACTCTAAAAAATTACATCTGCCCTCTCAAACTCTTGGTGTCTCAAATTCCACAGTAAGAACTTCACTAGTGCCTTAAGCCAAACAGTGCTTTATCACTTATTAAAACTCTTCCATTAACTGATAACACTTTCCTATACTTTACTTTGAATAAATATAGCAGTTCTTTTCTCTAGAGAAGTTTTGGGTTGGTGGGAAAAGAGAATATAATGGGTTGATGAATGAATGAGATCTGAAGAAAACATCTGCATAATTTCCATATGTTCGTGGTAGGTGCCTTTGCATATGCATTTCATTCCAAGTTCTGAAAGAACTCTTTAAACATTTTCAGTGCACTGACTACTGAATGTGGGCATAGGAAATTTAAGCTCTACATCCAATATCACAACTTTTCAGGATTACTTGAATGACTGTCCTGAAGCCAACACAGTAAGAAATAATTTAGATATTAGCAATTTAATACTTAAATAAGTGAGAGAACTTTCTGGAATGTGGTTCCCAGCCATCTGGCAAAACACAATTTTTATTATTACTCCATTCCTGATCTGAAATTTTGGAAAAATTATTCTACTAATACACATTTATTATAAAATAAATATTGACCTATCAAATGCATTTAATAGCTACCTAAAGCTTCTGAATAAGCTGAGTTCGTGAAATAAATAAATAAATAATAAAGCTGAGTTCATGTAATTCCAAACAAAAACAAAGAAATGGCATTTGTGTTAATCTATGTGTCTAACTGCCTAAATAATGCACAATGCTTATTAAGTTGCTTGAAATACTGAAAATAACTCAAGGATCTCTATTACTAATACATTGCTCTTAAGGGGTAAAAATCCCATGTATGAAAAACACTTTCAACACTTCCATTTTATAGATGACACACTAAATGTCTTTCTAAAGTACACAGCTCTTTTAGGACAGAATTAGAATGCAAATCCATTTTTTTTCAACTTTGACATCAACTGGTACACTCTACTATGCTGCCTTGTCTTTTGATGCTGATATTTGAGAATAATAAAGTACTTTAAGAATGTCTCTAAAAAATGAATAAAGTGGATTCCAGCTACAACTATGTCAGATAAACTTTTGGATAAAATATAAATAATATAAGAACTTATTTGAAGAAATCACCAGAGAAATTACAGTGAAAATATTGGTAAATGCAAACTAAAATAGGGTCAGTGTATGTGAGACTGTTGGAGGGGGCTATGGACTGAGGTAAGAAGAGAAAGGAGTTAGAGAAAGACTTGAAGTCCAAAGAACTACCTTAACTCCCTTATCCTCAGGAGCACATTTTTTTTTATTTTTTATTTTTTTATTTATTTATTTATGATAGTCAGAGAGAGAGAGAGAGAGAGAGAGAGAGAGAGAGAGAGAGAGGCAGAGACATAGGCAGAGGGAGAAGCAGGCTCCATGCACCGGGAGCCTGACGTGGGATTCGATCCCGGGTCTCCAGGATCGCGCCCTGGGCCAAAGGCAGGCACCAAGCTGCTGCGCCACCCAGGGATCCCCATTTTTTTTTTTTAATGTAGGCTCTAGTCCAATATGGAGCTTGAACTCACAGCCCCAAGAACAAGAGTCGCATGTTTCACTGACTGGGACAGCCCAACAGGTGCATATGCTACAAATATGACTTCAAGAGCTGCAGGCCCCTGTTTTTCTCTCTAAGGAAGTAGAGGGTACAGACACCTGGAAGAGATCTAGAATGAGTTTCAGTAAATCCAGTTTCAACACTATTTCTCTGCAATGCTTTGACATAAAATTATCTAAACAGAGATAAAGGTTTTTATTGCATTAATAAAAGATATAAATCTTAAAATTCAAATGTATGTATATTATTTGGGGAAATTAGTAGACTATTTTGGTTTCACCTGCTCAGTGCTCCATTCTCCACAGTGCTGGTGAGTTATCAACCGAATCCTCTGCTCCCCCAGATGAGCCTGAGATGTGAGCCTAGCCCATCATCCCCTTGGCCACAGGGATGAATGTAAAGGGTGAGAACATGGCCAAATAGGGCCAGAGTTCTTTTCTAGGACTAATTTATAGACATCGAAAGAATACAGCACCAATAGAAAAGACTTCTTGGAAAGCCTGAACCATATTCCCTCCTAAATGAGCCAACTGGTTTGGAATAGACAGAAGGAAGCTAGCATACAAAGAGAAGCAGAGAGAAGTTGACAAAGACAGATGCAAGATGTTGTGATGATGTTCAGTAACTTGCTCTAGCTCCTCAGGCCCTAGTCCTTGCAGCTTTCCACTGTGTGAGCCACTCCAAAATATACCTTCCCTCTATGTAAAAATTCATTATTGCATAAGCTAATTTGAACTTGTGTTTGCTCACCAGCACATGAAAGAGTATAATAATGTACTTTTGTCATGCTTTAACTGCATGTAGATTTCAAGAGTTTATGAAATATGGGCTTTTCAAAATTGTGGACTGGATTATAAAAAGATATTTTAAAAGTGCCATCATTAAATCAGGATGTCACACTGTGGGTAAAGAATGGTGACGGTACCATCTTCAGAAAATTTTTCTAGAAACCTTAGCTAACCTGGAGAAAAATAGGTGATTAAAAAAAAAGTATTAGTGACAGTACTTAAGGGATTATATGGTCATAAACTTGATTGCTAAAATCCAAATAACACAGCAAAAAAATATCCTTTTAAATATCAGTGAATATATAAATATAAAGGTAACTTTTTACAATACTTACTTTGATTTCTGGTTGAAACCAGTTCTGTGTCTTTGTATCAAATACATGAACATCATTATGCCATCCCCAGAATATCTGTTCTTCCTAAAACAGGAATTTTTAGAATATTTTAAGCTTTTTTTAGGTTATTGTAATAAATTTCATTGCATTTTTACCAGTAAAATAATAGATATCATTAAAAAAAATAGTGTTAAGTGTTACCATAGTCATAAAGCTAATGCATACACTAGTGACTCACAAAGTGTGGCCTCTAACCAGTAGTAGCAGCCACCACCTGGCAACGTCTCTTCTCATAGCATTGTTTGCAGTGAGTCATAACTTGTTGATAATCTTCCAATTCCCTCAAGGAATTGTCTCTTTTAAAATTGTAGAGGACAAAATGACACTTCTATTTTGCAATCTGTTTTCCTAGAGTACGTGCTCAGAATTCCTAATCTTTGCAATTAGGAACTTTAGGGGACCAAGGTTCCTTTTTCCAAAAAGTTCCAATTACTTCAACTTAACCAAGCAATTTGTTCTTAGAGGTCAAACTTGTGCTCACTCTTCTTTGTCTTCAAAGAGACAAAATTGTCAGCAAGGCAACCACTTAGCAATTATACTATATTTAGCATCTCTGGATTGTTGAAATCCTCTATTACTACTTTACTTACACCTGTGTCAGTTTTATGTTCTATGCCACTAATACATCATTCATTTTTGTCAGAACTTGTCAAACAAGTCAAACAAACTAAACAATTCACTTAGTTTAAAATATAAATTAAAAAAATCTACTTGTACACCAGAAACTTCAGGACATGATCCTTAGCCTAACTGTACTAGGGGAGAAAAAGAATGAATAAAAATATGTAGATGTAAGTAATGGGAACTTATATTTCTGAAAATTATCAGTAATACTGTAAGTAGCAAAACTTTAAAGATATTTTGTTCTAAAAACTCAGAAACCATGTAAATACACAGCGATCTTTTCAAATACTCATATATAAAAAGATACACATGAAATGTACATATATATTTACATTATAATGTGCAATAATAATATATGCTAGTAGAAGGTAAGACCAGAGAACTACTATGTATCTTGGTGCTGGGATCAATGGTTTTTAAAGTTATATTTTAAAAGATTTTGTTTTTATGTCATGTCTTATTTCATTAGTTAACAATTTATTAGCTGACCAATAAAAATAAATAGGAAGGGTAATATCATTACCAACTTACTGTCATACAGAGGTCAGCCTGAGCTATGAACAGTCCTGGTGGACATACCTAAAAGGAGGTGTGTCAGCAACAGCCATTCTGGTTGTCTATGAATGAAGTTTTTCCAAATTGTCCTAAAACCTCTACTTGTCTAACAGAAGCAGGTGTAAGTGATTAATAAGGTAAGCAATTACTCTGCCAGTAGCCACGAAGGTTAATACTACTAGGTAAGAGAAACTCCTCCAACTGAATCTAAATCCAAAAATGAGAAAATACATTTTTTTTCATAGTGTCAATTATGGCAGGTTAAACTGAGAAAGATTGGGCTCATTATTTCTAAAGACTTTCAGTTGATACTAAATTAGAGGAAAATGGGGATGCCTGGGTGGCTCTGTGGTTGAGCATCTGCCTTTATTTAGCTCTGGGCGTGACCCCGGGATCCCGGATCGAGTCCCACATCGGGCTCCCTGCAAGGAGCCTGCTTCTCCCTCTGCCTGTCTCTGCCTCTCTCTCTGTGTCTCTCATGCATAAATAAATAAAATCTTTAAAAATAAAAAATTAAATAAATAAATTAGAGGAAAATGTAAACAGTGATTACTCTCTTACCCAAGATGCATCATGAACATCAAAACAGTCTTGGAGTTCATTGTGTCTCCTACACCCATAGCCACCAAAATATATTAATCTGAAAAACAAGAACAAAAGAACACACTTTAGAAGTTCTATTTCCAGTCTGTTCATTGAAAGTTGAAAGAGGTCATCTCTCTCGCCCTAATAACCTAAACAAGGCAAATAAACTAAAAACAACATAGTTTAAAAAAAAATCAAAGAGAGAAAGGAACAAAGAAATCTAAATGAACTAATTCCAGAAAGTGATGAACTTTCAATAGAAGGGAAGAGACTAGGCATGGTTGCTTTCATTCCTGGTATTACAACAAGAGGAGGAGGAATCCAGGACAGATAGGGTTCATTAAAGAAATCACCCAAAATTTTAACAGCCACTTGTAGGCTGGCATAGCAAATTAGAATCTTAAGAAAATCAGCCACAGTGGGAGTTTGAATCCACTCAACAAGTCTTTCATGTGGTCTTTAGAGGGCTCAGGGTCAGTCTCCAACAGGTGGAAGCAGAAGAGAACTAAGCAAACATCCTTGAAGCAATATGAGCTTTTAACTACAAAAGTTTGAAACCAGGATAGGAGATCTGAAGATGGGTTGCCTTCAAAAGCCCAAGAGAGGGGGTACAAGGCTGAAAAAGATCTCCCAAGGTAGAGAAAGCAAAAGGTGGGACTGGAGAACAAGAAGAATTCCCTAGTGACCCAAAGACCTACCAATTAGGCTATAAACATTTTTCTAATTATTTAATCAGCATCTACAATAACTATGATAAACTGCTAACAGACCTAGTTTGTAAAAGGTGGATAACATGCAGGAAGAACAGAGCAATTTCAGCAGAGATATGGAACCATGAAAAGGAACTGCTAAATGGAAATGCTAAAAATGGAAAAAAATGTCAGAAATAAAAAACTGATTAAATAGGCTTCACTGTAGACTGGGCATAGCAATGGGAAGACCAGGGAACTTGAAGACAGGTCAGGAGGTTAATAAAAAGTATCCAAATTAAAACAAAGAGAAGAAAAGAGATGGGGAAAACTCAGGTAGCCCAAGCTCTGTGGAGCAATATCAAATGGTCTAATGTATATATAACAGGAATCACAGGAGAAGAGACAAACATGTAAAGGAAATATCTGATAATTACTAAGAGCTTCCCAAAACTGATGAAAGATATAAACCCACCAACCTAAGAAGCTCAGCACACTCCAAGAGGTTAAATACAAAGAAGACTACAAGTAAGAACATTTTAATCAAATCAATGAGGAGCAAAAATTTTAAAAGTTTTTAAAAGCCAGGGGAAAAAGACATATACAGAGGAACAAAAACATGAATGAGAGTGAATTTCTCACCAGCAAAATGGAGGCCAAAAGCAAGGTAGTAAAATCTTTAAAGTGCTGAAAGACAAAAAAGAAAAACAAACAAAAAACAAACAAAAAAACTGTCAGCCAACAGATGGAGAAAAAATTACAAGAGATAATAAAAATTACCTTGAAATGAATAAAAATGAAAATACAATAAAACAAAACTTATGATATGCAGTGAAGGAGGTGCTCAGAGTGAATTTTATAGCTATAAATGCCTACAATTTTTTAAAACATCTCAAATCAGTAACATAACTGTACACATTAAGAAATAATCAGAAAGAAAAAAAAAAGAAATAATCAGAAAGAGAAGAATAAACTAAACCCAGAAGGAAGGAAATAATGAAAAATAAAGGGGAAATAAGCAAAACAATGAACAGAAAAATAAAGACAACAACAAACCAAAAGTTGGTTCTTTGAAAAGATCAACGAAATTGACAAATCTTAGGCTAGGTTGCAAAGAAAAAGGAAGAGAAGACTCAAAGCACCAACACTGGAAATGACAGAGGCGACACTACTATCAACAGTATAGAAATTAAAAGGATTATAAGAGAATACTATAAAAACTATGCCAACAGATTGGGTGTTAGAAATAAAATAGAAAATAGAAAAATTTCTGGAAAGACATTATCAACAATGGCTTATGAAAAAAAATGGTGGGACGCCTGTATGGCTCAGCGGTTGAGTGTCTGCCTTTGACTCAGGGCATGATCCCAGAGTCCCAGGATCGAGACCCACATCAAATTTCCTGCATGGAGCCTGCTTCTCCCTCTGCTTGTGTCTCTGCCTCTCTCTCCCTGTTTCTCATGAATACATAAATAAATTTTTAAAAAAAAAATGGCTTATGAAGAAATAGAAAAACTGAATAAACCTATATAATTCAGTCAATAATCAAAAAACTTCCTGACAAAACAAACAAACAAACAAACAAAAAAAAACTTCCTGACAAAGACAAGTCCAGGACCAGATGGCTTCAGTGGTAAATTATACCAAACACCTACAGAATAATTAATGCCAACCTTCTTGAAGTTGCCCCCCCCCCCAGTGAAAAGAATACTTCTAACTCATTCAATTAGGCCAGCCAACTCAAAACGTTAGAACAAAAAACTCTACATATGTCTGATAAGAGATTAAGATCCAGAATAAGTAAAGAACTCCTATAGCTCAACAACAAAAAGACAACTCAATTTTTAAAAATGGGCAAAGGACTTGAACAGACATTTCTCCAAAGAAGATTTACAAATAGCCAATAAGTATATGAAAAAATGATCAACATCATTAGTGCCTGGGGAAATACAAATCAAAACCATAATGAACACCATTTCATACCCACTAGGATAGCTATTATTTTTTAAAAAGAAAAAGAAGAAAGAAATTAAGAAACAGAAAAGAGAACGTATTGGTAAGGATGTGGAAAAATTAGAACCTGTGTACATTACCAGTGGAAATATGAAATGTCCCAGTGGAATCACCTGAGGAGTTTCAAAACATCATAACCTCAGAGATTATCATTTAATTAGTGTAAGGTATTACGTGGGCTTTGGAATTTTTAAAAAATCCACAGGTGATTCCTATAGGGGAATTCCAAGTTTGGGAACCACTACTGTAAGAATACAAAAGACAGTAGTAGAAGTAGCTATTTGTGCATGGTGGGAGGGAACAGAGTGGATGGGGACAGGAGTGGGAGCAGACCTTTCACTATCGATTTTTTTTTTAAGATTTTATTTATTAATGAGAGAGACAGAGAGCACGCAGCAGAGAGAGAAGCAGGCTCCATGCAGTGAGCCTGACGTGGGACTCGATCCCAGGCCTCTGGGATCAGGCCCCAGGCTGAAGGTGGCGCTAAACCGCTGAGCCACCCGGGCTGCTCCACTATCAACTTTTTAATATGGTTTTGAATTTTGAACCATGTGAATGTGTTAACTATTCAGAAAGTTTAATTAAATAATAAATTTATTTTGAAAAACAAATAGTTGCTTCCACAATGTTTATTCTTATGACATGGCTCTTATCCAGGATGCAGAACTGCCATTACTGACAGAGTCAAAAGTTTGTAATTATACCTTGAAAAATCCAGACTTTCAAGTTTTTTCCATTTAGGCCACAAGCTATGACCCTTACTTAAGTGTAGTTAATGAGATGACTTTGCTACATTACCTGTCTTTATATACCCAGCAAGAAAGTTTATCACGTGGTGTGGGTGGTTGTCCTTCAAAACTGGTGATTTTTTCCCAAACATAGGTTCCATCTCTTGTCCGCAAATTAACAAAATAAAGCTTTTAAAAGAGGAGAACACCATTAGCAGATAGGCCATTTAAAAATTAAGTCTGTGTCTGAGGGATATATGGTCCAAGAACTAATAATACTACTTTTTTCTCTTTAAAAGGTAAAATTTTTCATTGTAAAGTTAATAAAAATGAGACTGTGTTTTAGAAGAAAAATGACATATAAGACATACTGAAATGGATCTTGTCCCATCATGCTCTGCCCTACAGACACCAACTAAGCATGGAGCTAATTCAGAAGCAGAAAGATGTGGAAGAAGAGAAGAACACAATGGCTGCATTGTCACTCTATTTTTAAAAACCTTGTAAGCTCAAGATTTTCTACTTATATCTTCTTTTTTAAATATTTGTAAACTTGTGAGATGCACTAAATAATACATTTTCTGCATTCCTGAATTGAAAGAAAGTATTACTCGATTGCTGTATCCTTTGTCATCATATCCTCCAAAAACGTACAGCTTTCCATTAATGCAAGCACCACAACTTCCTGACATGGAGGTAGGGAGTTCTCCTTCCATGAGGTGCATGGTCCTGCAGCAAGAATAACATGGAATTCCGTGACTTTTCAGAAAGGCAAATTAAAATTCCCTTTGAACTCCATGAGTGCTCTTTCAATGAAAATTGTCACTGATAATTACAATTGAAATGCAATGGTAGCCAACACTGTAAAAACTCTAAGATCCATGGTAAGATTTTTAACCTATTGGGGGAAAAATTGCAAAATCTTCATGTATCACTAGAATTGAGAATTAATTGGTAGAACAAAGCAAAGTCTTCTGGGACAGCCTTAGCTCGAGAGGAATGCCAAATGACAAAGAACAGAGGAAGGAAGTAGGGGAAAGAAAGAGCCAGAGAGAATAAAGCATTCAAAGAAAAGGAAAGGAAGACAATAAATGTTGCAGTATGTTCTAAGTTTGGTCTTAAATTCCCTGTAGTCTACGAAAATATTTAAAACATATTAAGATTGGACATTCTGCAATTTAAAATTACTTACCACAACCCACTATCAATATCATAGGTCCAAATTTCATCATTAGGCAAATATACTTCATTGTCTTCAATAGACTAAAAACAGAATACATAAAGTTATGTTTATCAATTACGCAGTAACAATTAAATAGTTCCTCAGGATGGGAAAACTGCGATTAAGATGCTGCAAAATATAAAATCAGAAACAGGCTCCAAGATGGGTTTTTAAATTTAAATTACGATAGATTTAAAAAGAAGGGAAAAAAGACATTTTCTAAGAGAAAGTGGGCAAATAAGAAAAGTTTAGAATACAAAATAGCAAATATATGAGTCTCAAGAAAAAGACTCAGGGCAATTGAACCTTAAAAAAGGGATCCTGAATAAGGTAAAATAGCAAAAATAATAACATTCAGAGTAGAATACTGAAGACTACAAAGTCAAGAGAAAATGAATATAAAAAAAGGGCAATATGTTTCGGGTGAAAGGAAGCACTTAAGGAAGAAATGTTTACAAGGTATATTAAGAGCACTGTATCAGATATCTTGATTTACTGAACATATTTTTTGAGTGCCTACTATGTGCAAGGCATAGTGTTAGGTGTTCATTAAACATAGACTCTAAGGATCAAGATAAATTTAGTCAAAATGACAACTCAGAATCTGAATAATCTCTAAAGAAGCTGATAACATAAAAAGAATAGCACATTCTGACATTTATAATGAAAAGAGAAATAAGAAAAAAGAATCATTTCTTTTAAGTCTAAAACTTTAGGTATTAAAACAAATCCTTACACAAATTCATCATAATTTATTAGAGTCTGTAAAATAATTCAAAAACAGTTTTAAAAGAAAGCAGTTTAAGAATTTCTAAGACTGTAGGATGCATACATTATTAACACGCTAGAGTTGGTTAATTTTTTCTTTGGTTTGTTAAATTTAAAAAAATAGTATCTTGACTACCAAGTATCTGACCCCTACCATCTGTCTCTCTTCCTCTCTCTCACACCCATACCCACACACCCAGAGCAAAAAATCATTCCATTAATTCCAAGGAAACTTTCACTCATGTCCGACTGTGGAAGTCATATTAGATGGATAAGTAACATATAATTGTAATGAGTGTGATAACTGTATGATTCTAAGGTTTAATGGCATCAGACTCCAGCAGCCTCATGTACACACCTTTGTAACAGAAATATTATGAAAATAGATTGTCACTATTCTCCTTAAGTCCTTCAAATGCTTCCCCACTGCTCCCAGAATAGTCTCAAATTCTTATGATTCTGTACTACATGGCACCTGCTATCCTTCCAAAGCTCATCTTCCCTTTCATTCACTATGCTCTAGTCTTCTTTCAGTTCCTAATTGTCTGCAAATTCCTTGTTCCAACAGGGACTTCATCTGCCTCTTCTCTCTTCTTGGCATGCTCTCCCAAAATTTGCCTAACTACTCATTCTTTGGAAAGCAGCTTAAATGTTGCTTCTCTAATCTCCCAGAATAAGGATAAAGGATTAAAGTCCCTATTAAATGTTTTCCCACAGTAATGTGCTTCCCCTTCCAAGTCCTTTGTCTGTATCACATCCACCCACTACCACTAACCCATTGGCTTCATGAGTGCATGGGTCATGCTTCTCTTGTTATAATTCTGTTCCCAGAACCCAGCACAGTGCCCCACACATAAAAGCCAAATGTAATGCTTGTTGATTGATTGAGTGAATGGATAAGTTGAATAATACTTGTTAAACTGACTGCAGGCTCACCTCAGCCTGATTTTTAAAAAGAAATCCTTGGGGATCCCTGGGTGGCGCAGAGGTTTGGCGCCTGCCTTTGGCCCAGGGTGCGATCCTGGAGACCCGGGATCGAATCCCACATCGGGCTCCCGGTGCATGGAGCCTGCTTCTCCCTCTGCCTGTGTCTCTGCCTCTCTCTCTCTCTCTGTGTGACTATCATAAATAAATAAATAATTAATTAAAAAAAAATAAAAAAAATAAAAAGAAATCCTTTTCACTAATCTTTAAATAGGGTGGTACAAAAACACAAACGAATCAAAGAATTGAAAAATTTGGACTTAGTTCCTACTTGTTTTCTGAGAGATTTCATTCCTAAATCATCCCCTCTTTCCTCCAAGTTTTCCTTCTCTACTAGATCATTCCTGTAGATATACAAACGTGCCTTAATATCACTCACCTTTAAAACAAACAAACCCTCCCTTAATCCTTCTATATCTCAGTTCCCTTCACACAAAACTCCATACTAACTAATGAATGTCCCCACTGGTTCCACTTCTCATTCTCATATACAAACGTGCCTTAATATCACTCACCTTTAAAACAAACAAACCCTCCCTTAATCCTTCTATATCTCAGTTCCCTTCACACAAAACTCCATACTAACTAATGAATGTCCCCACTGGTTCCACTTCTCATTCTCTCATCAAGCCAGATTAATCTGGCTTTTGAGCCCATCATTCCACTAAAATTGCTCTGTTGAGATGACTCTTAAAGAGAGAATTAGTTAACTGATTTATCTGAAAATATGGCCCAGAAAAAAAAATGGCCCAGAAAGATGGAATATATAAACAAGAAGTTAAGATACATGGAGAAAGAGAAGAACTTAGTCTAATTACAGTTTCATGAGAATGTAATAGAATGAGGAAAAGGCAATATTTGAAGAGACAAAGGGTGGGAATTTTGCAAAATTGTTGAACATTATCAAGCCTTGAGATCTAGGAAGTCCTAACAAGTTCCAAGCAGGATAAATTAATAGAAATCCATAGCAAGCCACATCAGTAAAACAACAGACCATCAAAGAAAAATATGTACTCTTAAAAATTGCAAAATTAATAAACAAATCACCTTCAAACAAATGGCAACTAATGACTGAATTCCTATTAGCAACAATCAAAACTAAGTATTAGCCAATGTGTTTAATGAAAGTAACTGTCAACCTATATAATCCTATAGTCAGTTAAAAAAAAAAAAAGTATTTTAAGAACCAAAGTAAGGGAACCCTGGGTGGTGTAGCGGTTTAGCGCCTGCCTTTGGCCTAGGGCACGATCCTGGAGACCCGGGATCGAGTCCCACGTCGGGCTCCCGGTGCATGGAACCTGCTTCTCCCTCTGCCTGTGTGTCTCTGCCTCTCTCTCTCTCTGTGACTATCATAAATAAATAAAAATTTTTTAAAAAAGAACCAAAGTAAAATAAAGAATTTTCAGACAAAAAGTTGCAACAGTTGGTAATCAACCTTCATTTATAGAAATCATAATAGCTGTGCCATTTCAGACAAAAGGAAAATGACCTGATTAAAGATCTGAAATGTGTTAAGAAACAGCACGCAAAATATTAGTAAATGTGTGGGTAAATTTAAACACATAAAAAGGGCTAACCTTTTTCTTTGATGCCTAATTTAAAGGGAGAGAAACAGAATAGAATCACCTAGGGAAAGGGGTGATTGAATTTTAAACTTGCTAAAGTACTTGAACTCTCTGGGAAGAAGGAAAACTATTAAAACTCTGAACTTTGTGAAGTATTTGGGTTTCTTAAAAAAAATTTTAAAGATTTTATTTATTTATTCATGAGAAACACAGAGGCAGGGACATAGGCAGAGGGAGGAGGGGGCTCCCGGGGGGAAGACTGATGCATGATTCTATCCCAGGACCCCAGGATCAACACCTGAGCCAAAGGCGACGCTCAACCACTGAGCCACCCAAGCATCCCCAAAGTATTCATTCTAAAATAGAATAGCTACTACGTGGTTAGAAATAAATCATATAATCAATAATTAAGAAATCTGTGAAATGAGAAAGTTAAGGAAGAGGAAGAGAAACAGAGAGAGGCAAATATAAAACACAACCTGGGGTGCCTGGTGGCTCGTTAAGCGACTGACTCTTGATTTCGGCTCAGGTCAGGATCTCAGGGTGGTGAGATAGAGCCTTAAATCAGGCTCTGTATTGGGCATGCGGCCTGCTTAAGATGATCTCTCTATCTCTGCTCCACCCTCCAGCTCATGCTCTCCTTCTCTCTCTCTAAAAACTCCACATCTGATGAAAATAGTATATCAGAATCAAATTAAGTATAAATAGGTTAAACCCTTCAAATAAAATATACAGAGTGGAATCCCTGGGTGGCGCAGCGGTTTGGCGCCAGCCTTTGGCCCAGGGCGCGATCCTGGAGACCCAGGATCGAATCCCACGTCGGGCTCCCGGTGCATGGGGCCTGCTTCTCCCTCTGCCTGTGTCTCTGCCTCTCTCTCTCACTGTGTGCCTATCATAAATAAATAAATAAATAAATAAATAAATAAATAAATAAATAAATAAGGAGTGTCAGACTAGATAGAAACAAGATCTAGCTATTTTCAGGTTATAATACATGCATCCAAAATATAAAGATATACAAAGTTTCCATCAGGAGATAGAAAAAGGTACACAATGCAAATATTAACTAAAAGAACACTGGTATAGAAATATTGAGAAAATAGATTTTAAGGCAAGTAATATACTATGGATGAAAAGGATCATTACAAAATAATAAAATATTCAATTACCCAGAAAGATATCATAATTCTAAATTCACATACACATAAAAAGGTAGCCTAAAATATATTAAAGTAAAAGCTGACAGGACCACAGGGAGAAACTAACAAATCTAAAGTCAGAGTAGTAGTAGTTTTTAATGCCTGTTACAGTAATTGATAGAACAGAAAATTAAAAAATAAAAAAGAATATAGGAGAACTGAACAACACAATCAGCAAGATTGATTGATAAAATAGACATATATATTCACCTGATAATTTGTATATATACTCTCTATAAGAACTAAGGTATAGGGGTACCTGGGTGGCTCAGTTGCTTAAGCATCTGCCTTCTGCTCAGGTCATAATCCCAGGATCCTGGGATAGAGCCCCATATGAGGCCTCCTGCTAAGCCTGCTTCCCCTTCTCCCTCTCCTTCTCCCTCTGCCCAGCCCTGCTTATGCTCGTGTGCTCTGTTTCGCTGTCAAATAAATTAATAAAATCTTTTTTTTTAAAAGTACTAAGGTATATTTTATGAAAATGATCACATGCTAGTCCGAAAAGCAAACCTCAACATATTCCAAAGG